ACTGTATGAAACATGGAGACGGTCTCAGTGACATCCCTTGTTGGATTTTGTAAGAGCAAAATGAAGTCCAAACGTGGTCATCGCCATATTGGAAATGGTGATCCCTACTACTTTGCAACTGCTCAGGAAACAAGAGGTGAGACTGAGGATTGAGGTGGGCCCTTCTGACCCTCCAAACAACAATTCATCAACCTGTCAGTCAAATCCTTATTATGTCTGATTATGCATATGACTCTCTGTCTTAATGTGATCAAAAAGATGGCATAAAAAATTCCATGTCCCTATAAGTTTTACCAATAAAAAAATTACCTATAAATCCAAACTGTTCTTGCTGCAGACCAAACATGTTTGATCTTGCTTTGAAAACAGGCCTTTTAATAAACAGCCTATTTGGGTCTCTTTGGCCTTAGGAGCCGGACTCAAGTGGATACTCAAGAAACTTTGGCGGTGGCTTCATATTTCAACATCTGAGTCAAACTTATCGGTGGTCACAATAAACCTTCAGAATAGGGCTGCAGCTATTGTATATTTTAGTAATGGAGTACTCTACTGAATATTCCATCGATTACTCGAGTAATCTGACCCAAAGGGCAAACTCACATAGAGTGAGATTTCTTATGTCACAAATCCAAGCTCCAACCCCGGAGCCGCGCTATGAAGGCCAGACAATGCAATGCTCGCAAGAAAGCTAATTATGATACGAGCTTTCATCATACCCCTAAAGACATCAGTGTCCGAGAGTTGAATAGCTCCTATGTTACCTGCTTCAGCTGCTACACTGGCAATGTTAGGCTGCAAGTTAGCGTGAAGAGGAGTGTACGGAGCAGCGCTGTCTCCGCCCACGACTCAGACGCGAATTGCTAATGATCTACTGGAGCTCTGCAGAAGAAAAGCCCCTCTCATCATTCAATTTTTCTGCTCCGCAAAGACCAAAACCATGCTTACCCGTCCTTCTACTGTGGTGATGTAAGCGCGTTGTGTTGCCTTGAAAATAATCCGTGTGAAACAGTGACGATTCGAGCTTGTAAACGAGTACTCGAAAATTCCTTGATCATTTTTTGGAATCGTTCAGCCCTACTTCAGAAGCATTTTTTTTGACTGATACCAGACTCAAACACCCACACAGGCACAGAAAGTACATGCAAACTCCAAACAGAAATAAGAGGCATTAATCAATGAGTTCTATGATTGAAGAAAACACCACTAATATTGTGTATACATCCAAAGGAATTAATGCAAAGGCAAGAGCGAAAACTGAAACTACTGGAAAGGAAAAATACAAAATAATAAATCTTGTTTGGATGAATACTGGGGCAAAGTTGCTGCCTGCTGAACAAATCAACTGAATATTTGTCTTAACAAAGTGCAGTTTGTATTCGATGTCCCACATTTATATGCAAAAAGAGTGAACTTCTGCAAGTTCAACAACAACAACCGCTCTGCATCCAAAGTCTCAGAAGTCTTAGGAAGAATGGCGTTTGTACTTTATAGACCAGCCCTCCTCTCCCCCATTCCTTGTTGACAGGCAGGCTGTTCCTGCCCTGATGCACAATGCGCTCGCACTCATTCTGGTGCAGAGGGTGCTACACATTGAATTAAAAGAGTTCTGATTGATAAGGTAGTTGAAGGCAAATCTGCTCCCACTAATTGTCTTTCAAATGCCCTCATTAATCAAAGCAGCGCTGGCCCCGCTGACGGGCGGTCCTGTCAGCCGCTCTGCTACAGGCTCTCCTCCGGCCACTCACCTCCCAGCGTGACGCCTGCTTCCCCTCTGTCAGCCGCCGCTGTCCGAGTACTACAGGAGCACAGGCCATCCGTCCGTCCGCCGCACACCTGCCTTCTGCTAGACAGGATCTGGCCGCCCCCTGCCACTAGGACGGCCCCAGAGACCAATTTAGCAGCCACTTAATGATTCATGACTTCAAGTGGTGGAAATGAGGGCAGCATATGATAACAGGAATAAACACATTTAATTAGCTCCTCATATACATTATTTATTTATTTACCTGCACTCTGATTAATTTATATATTTTGTGTCAGAGGATTTTTTGGTATTCACGGCATCTGGCACGGAGCCTTTGTTGTGTCTCCCTCACCTTTCTTTTTTGGGATGAGGGTTACCAGTGCACCTCCTCCTTTATCTGGGGACCTTTTCTAAAGGGTGCGGCGGGGTGGGGTACCAACGGGGATTTGGCGAGACCCCTACAATGAAATGAAAGGAATGGCGGGGAATATTAGACTTTAAAATATACAGTTCCCTGAGCTCTAAGTAGCCTTGTTTGTGAATTTCCTGACAGGTAGTTACTCCCCCAGTTTTCTTTGAGCATAGGGCATACATTTTCATGGAGGTGCTAATCAAAGCTGCGCTGCGGCAAACAGCAGAGCCACAGAAGGCCCAATCAAAGCCGCGTACCCGGCTCTCTTCCATAAGGCTCGAGGAACGCTGATGACAACTCTTACCCTAGCATCTGCCATCGCATCCATCACAGGTTGACTTCCTTCACACTCTCTCTCTCCACATCTATCTCCCTCATTGACACGTGAACACAGACTGAACCATGAGCATGAACTTTAACTTCACGTTTCTAGGAGCTGAGTATATCATCTAGCTGAGACACCAAATGATCTTGGGAAAAGTTAATCCTGTAAAAACTGTAGTCTAGAGTCAGATTTTAATGCAGAATGCTCTACAATTATCCTTTTCATTAGATTTGTGTTGTTGTCTCTTCGTACAATGATTACAGGGTGGAAAAAAGAGGAGGTGGTACAAGACACCAAAGAGAGAAAAGGCCTGAGACACTGTTACAGATATTGTTTACTCTTAATTAGCTGTTGAAGAGAAAATAAACTATAATTGTCCGCATGGCAGCAAATTAAAATGTCTGGTGTAGGATGCTCAGGAACACAATGTGAGAATGACCTCCGGTATTGTCCTCCCAAGGCTTGCTCTTTTGTCACTTTTGCAAAGGGAAATCAGTGAGAGCGGTAGGCATGTGATTGTGATGATGATGATGATGATGATGATGATGACAGAAGGAGTCAAGGAGGTGAGAAAGGACTCGGTCCAAAGCAGCGGATGTGGAGGTTCCCACTACCAGCTCTCCTCCTCCTCTCCTTCTACTTCCCTGCGTCGTCCCTCTTCTCCTCTAATCCCTGGCCGCTGAAGACCTCCAGACGCCCTCCTCTCATAATGACACGGCTATCAAACCCAATTGCTGTGGCTCAGACCCAAGGCAGTGCATTAAACCCCTTAGTGTCTGATTGCTTCTCCAGAGTCAAGTGGTTGTGTCCTCCCTGTCATTCCCCCTGACCACCGCCACCATCACCACCCCGACTGCTCAGAGCCGCTGAGACGAGAGTCCTCATAAAGGCCTGGTTAACTTGGTCAGACCATTCAGTCTGACCTCATACATGTGAAGAGGAAAAGGGACTGTATGAAAACATACAAAAGTTCCATGACAGACGGTGAGACTGTTTTCCAGGAAAAGAAACGAGAGACGAGACACTTTTGGGAACTCTTCTGTAAAGTTAAAAACAAGAAAGAATTCCCTGTAGATTTACTACGAGCTCTCAAATAGTAAACACTGTCAACTTTGTTAAACTGATTTTTAAGAATATATTCCTATTTTCTTTTCATTTGTTTTATTTTATTGTCTCATAGCAAAATATAGCAAGGTGAGAAAAGAAATGTAAGTCGGTAGTGAGCCTCTACCGCATTTGTTGGTTTGTTGACAGCGCAGGCGTACATACAACTCTTCTTCTTCAGTGGTTGTTTTAGCGAGATCAGACAACTCTGCACATGTCCAAAAACTTCTAATCTGAATAAAACTTGGTGCACATATACGCACGTCATGATCGGATTGTCTGATTTTGCTCCCCTATAAACAGTAGATTCAGATTTTCAGATCCCTCAAATTTTTAATGGTTGACCATGTAAACAAGGATACTATTGTACACACACATTGTGACGTGTGAATGATTTGTTAGACTTGATCATTTGCCTTTATATTGTCGTGATCCAACAAGACCAAAGACTGTCCATTAAAGACAGTTGCATCTCAGTGTGGAGGAGATTAAACTGGCAATAGTAGCATGTCTGTCTTGAACACAACCATGAAAACACTTGCTGTGCATCATATGATTTCTTCATAATATTTTAATATGAGTGGGATTTTCCCTCATTTTAGGTGTCAGACTCGCAGGAACTGAATCTTTTGTCGGGGATAACTCTCGCCTCATTGTGGACTTCAGGTCCTGTATTGCATTCCTGAAACACTTTTGTTTTTGTTTTGTGCGGTGCAGTATTTGGGTTCAAGAGTTGATTCTGAGGGGAAACAAGTGTTTGTTTGCATGACTGCATTTAAGCTGTGAGATTAACTTGTGTGCTGATGTGCTTATCAGTCCAGGGAGCTTTGTGAAGAAGTTTGATGAAAAGGTGAAACGATGAAAGAAAATATCCGTAGAGGATATAGTATGTGCATAAATCAAATGTTTTGAAAGTAAGGACTTATTTCAGAAACATTTTTTTTATTCATGTGCATTTTTCATACTCATCTTGACTCTTTTTTCATTTTGTTAAAACTATAAAACTTACATTTTTGTCATCACCCTTTTGGTATGAACAATGTCGGACAAGTCAAACAGTGTTACTGAGGACAGCTGTTTGTAAAATACATGGAAAGTTTTGATTTGGTTTCTGGAAAACATGTTTCTAATACACTGTATGATTGATTATTGGTGGTGGACCCACTCTACAATCATGATTTAAGGGGAAGGGGGGGGCGTCACCCCACATTGCTGCAGGGATGTTCCTACAGCGCAAATGGCAAAGTACAGGCCATGTTGCCCGCACACACAGAGCTGCACTGAAGGAAAAAATAATGGGAATGAAAGAGCAAATATCTGTAAGTATTTGTTTGTCACTGCGTGTGTGTTCCTGCATGTTTGTGTGTTGAGCAGTGTATGTGTGTGTGCTTCTGTGTAAGATAGAGTGCAGTGTCGGAGTTTGGGCAGAAGGTGAATAACTACAGTGCTTACAGTGTAATCATGGTTCCTGTCAGCCCTGCTGCAGGAGAGGAGGGGGCGCCCAGCAGACTGAGCTCCTCGGTGATGAAGTACAGGCACCGAGGAGCGCTCTACACCTGGATATTTATTAACACAGGCCTGACAGTAATGAGGCCTGAACAGGTGGGCTGGGACACACATATCAGAGTGAGGAGCATCCGCCAGGAGGCAGTGGGGGAGACGGTGGAGACGAGTGGGAGAAGTTCACCCTGCAGGAATGCAGCCCTACAGAGAGCCGAGGCTGCACACCCACTCATAGCTACATACACAGCTGACCTGAAACAACAAAAACAAGTACCGAGTGTTTATTTTCTCCTCTGCTGCTCCAAAATGTGCATGCTACACTATCGTAAAACTACAGATTTTTAAAGAATTTAATGAGCAATCCAAAATATAAGGTTTAAGGAAACTAAGCTATTATAATTTATTGTAAATAATTTTTCATTTCAATGACAAAAAACATTTAAATAAAAGATGTTGAGGGGTGTGATTTACTAGCTCACAGCTGTGGATGTCTGGAGCAATCTTATCTTACCCTTTACTTTGACAGGAAAACTGTTTTTTATTTCTCATATTTACAGAAAACTCCACCATTAAAACCTAAAAAAAGATACAGACAGCATTTCCCTGTTTGCATATCTTAACATCCTTTAAAACTGTCTGCAATTTAGCTCAAGACTTGCTAAAGAAAGTTGCAAAGAAGAGCCGATGAAGAAACCCAGGAAAGAGTGTGACTCAAAGTCTGCATGTAATCCAGAGGCTGATATTAAGGGAAGCTTACAGTCATTAAAATAAAAATAAGTAGCTCTCAGTCCCTGTAGAGTGGACTTAGTGAAGAAAACACGTTGATACTAGGACTGGGAAATCATCGAAAGAGAGGGACATTTTGCATCCCTCATTAGGGTTACAGACGGAGTCATGTTTACTGCAGGTTAAGGGCAGTATAGTCGAGGATGTAATGATTACAACTGCTGTGTTTGTGTCTCTGTATTCGCCTCTCTCTACTGCAGTCTTCTTATTAAGACTCTGAGTGAGGCTAATCATTGCTGTCATCTCATGCTGAACAGATGCAGCGAACAAAGAAGAGGAGGAGGAGACCACTGCAGGCCCAAGGTGCATCTGCGGGGGAGGAGAGGTACTGTACTGCTTCTGCTGCTGCTGCTGCCGCCGCCTGAGCTGATGCTAGCTGAAGGCGCTCCCCGTCAAGTACCTCGCTCAGAGACTAATGGGTGGAGAAAAGGTAGAGGGGTGACTACGTCCAACATTTCATGTCAAATCCACCTTAATAATTTGTCAGTGCCAGCTGTGAGTGACACAAAGTGCAGGTGAAACAGCGTCTGGTGCACACCCTGAAATGGCACATTGGGAAATTCAGTTAACTAATGTGGTGGAGTCTAGATCCAGTGTGGGGTTTGACTAAAGAGTGAGACTTGTGCTCTACAGAGAGGACATGAGTTTGAAAATGATTTGGGACAGAGGGATGGATAATATTTCCACGTGAATGCTCCCTTTTGGTCTCTGTTATGTCTCTTTCTCTTTCAGTTCGGTGTCTTTCTTCCCATCCCCTGTTTCTGCGTCTCTCTCAAACGGTCTCATTCTTTTGAAAATGAGATCCTCAACTCGGACTGCAGACAGACTTTAAAAAACCAGAGCGGTGACTATTAACTCATCTCTCCAGCGGCCCTGCTGAGTCTGCTGGGACCTCGCTCTCATTTCTTATGCAGACACTCCTTCCTAACAGATGACCTTGGTCTTATCAGGACAGGTCTAGATCCCACCAAATGCTGCAAGACTTAATATTACTGTCAAGTACATCTGCTGTAAAGGCATGAATAACATTGTTCATCTGTCATTGTGTTCAAATTTAGCCTCCGTGAACCACGCTGCATTGTTGTAGTAATGAGAAGTCAGGGATCTCTGCCATCTGAACAACTTCAACAATGCTTTCAGATAAGTCTTATTTCAAAATATGTGATATAGCAGCTTTTGGCTAACCTACATAGATGCATATCTCCAACGATGGACCGCAGAAAAGTCCACTGTAAGCGTAATTGGAAAGGCGTGTACGCTACATGATTTTAAATGAATACCACACGTCCTACTTTACACATAAGTACAAAAAAAGGCTTTCTCTTCTGCAGCGGTTTCCATTTATAACCCTCCAGTCAGACCAGTCACATAAGCATACAATAGGCTTTATTAGCCTCTCCCCCACACTGCTTTCTGCAAAGAGGACAGATCTCCAATCTGAGGAGAACAAGCAGTTCCCTTTAAAGATCTTGTGTCTACAGCTAATCTGGTAAACTCCCATAAATGCTCCTCGCACCCCAGATGGAAGGAATTAGCAGCTTCAGACAGTGCAGAGAGGCCCTACGCCTGTGATATACCTCTGAGATTAATTAGCTTCGAACTTTAGATATTATTACAGAACCTGAGGTTGCCACAGGAATTACCATATCTTTAAATCTATTGGACCATTTTGTGCCATGGAAGCAGGCAGAGAGGCGAGGCGCTGAGCCAGGCTCGGTCCTCCATAATGCATGCTGGCCTCATCCGTACTCTGACAGCACTTAAGAAACCTACAGCCATTTGAGTGACAAAGATCTCATCTATTTTTCAGTTTTGACTCTCACTGTATGAGGGAGGATCTTATGTGTCATGGAGTGTGCGTTTTCATGTGTGTGTGTGTGTATGTGCGGGGATCATGTGTGTGCATGTGCGGAGGCAATTAGAAATATGTTGTTGGACAACAGTCTTGGATTTACTCACAAATCATCTCGACTCAGAGCGAGCCGGAGTGTCTCCTCCGTGTGTGAGTCACAGTTTTTAATGAGTTCTTTTCATGCAGTCCTCGGCTGCCTCGCTCGCCGGCGCTGCAGATTCACTGTTTTGCTCTTACAAATCTGTGTGTTCAAGTTTATGTGCAGGATAAAGGGGAAAGACGGATACATTCAAAGGGAGAACCTACACCTTCAAAAAATGAAGAAAACAGACTCCCTCCTGCTTATATGAAATCCGTGTCAAATTGTTTTGTGTGTGGGCAACTCAGACTTCCATCTCTGTCCGTGTCAGGAAGCTTAGATTCTCTGTTTCCCCCATTATTCCCTCTGCTCTCTCAGATTTTTAAACATGTGGTAAAAATATGGTCATAAAACCCGCAGAATAAACAAAAATTGCATTACTGTGAGCTCAGTTACCAAAACTCTAATTGGTATTTGTGGCATCAAGTAAAAGCTGCAACTTCGATTTAAATGTGTTGCATGCTAGCTTCCCTTCAACATCTCCTGACAGTGCTGCTCAGCATGGTAAGTTTCACTCTCACAAAGAGGCGGGGCCGGATAAGCCATTAATGTAGCATTAGAGCAAACTTTTAAGCTCCCTGAGACAAGCCATCCCTGGTATTTGGCAACATCTGAGGTGGGCGGCTTCTTATTGCACATTAAGTGCTTTTAGACACAAGAGTGGAGCATGTGGTGAGTGATGCATTAGGAGACAGACTGTCGAAGATATGTGCTCTCTCTTGGATGCCACTTGTATTGATTTCTATGGCCTTTTAATTTAAGGAACTCGCACTTAAGGCTGAGACGAATGTGAGGAAAAGGCCGGCTGCATATTCAGCTGTTAATGCTACAATCATGTTCAATTAAAAATGCATGAGGTCGCAGATTTAAAGATAGGTCCTCTGGATCGGCTTGTGTTTGCTCGACGTTTAATAAAAGGATTGGTGAGAAACATAAACGCAAAATGTAAAAGAATGCTTCCAATGATTATCAAGCACCTTCCAGAAACTCAAAGACCGTGAATGAGACAGAGCAGGGACAATTAAACCCTCAGAGACTCCGACTGACAAAGCAAGTAGATGCAGCTCATCACTGAGCGTCTGACCTTGCTTAACAGCCTTGAAAAGCACAGGTGACCACTCTGCTGCTCGATAACTTTCCCCCGGCTGCAAGTGCTAAGTGAAATTGCTGTTTTCAGCCATGGAGATGTTAGGCTTCAGGTTGACGGCATGCAGGGAGAAAAGAGGGAGGAGTGCAAGGTAACTGTGTCTGTTGAGCAGGGCGAGGGCACCCTGGAGTCAAGCTCATTAACCTCAGCGAGGGAAATGTTACAATGAGACAGAAGATATGCATGGCACCGGGTCACATCCTGAAGTGCTGCTTCTTGTAAAACCTGAACCTTCCCCGACTGACACAGCAGCAGCAGTATTTCATATATTAAAGGATTTTTTTTTCCCCTCTGAAGCAGTGGGATGGTGTTTGAGAGGAGAATAGGGAGCTGCATATGATAAGTAGATTTAAATATTCAAATGCAAGCAGGGCAAATGTGATGGAGTATACATCATTATTCTACTACCAAGGCCTTTCAGTATATCTTCATTTATAATGCTCTCCATATAGTCATCTACAATCCTGACCTGTTCAAACAAAGCCTTTATCCCAGACAGACACAATCAAAGTGATGGGTAAACACATACGCTACGTCTATCTTGCCTATTAATCTGAGCATCCAGCTGTGAGGAGGGCTTTGCTGTCCTATCTTTCCTCTGGTCCACACTGGAGCCCCTTTGGTATGGCTCCACCATGTTTGGATTTCATTGAGAGCCCCGGATCGTTTCTGTGCAACACAGATCAGAGCACATTGTTAGATGGACTGTGGCTGTTTCTGGGAATATTTTGGTGCCGCACGTTTGTAGATCAAGAATATGGCCATGTTGACTTTTAGGTCGGCTAACAGTTTAACTCCTTGCATAGTTATAGGGTGATTGAACATAGAGATAGATAAGATCAGGCATGATTGGCAGGTAATCCCATGTCACCCAGAGGTATGATACATTGTGAAATAGTCAACAATATAATCTGCAGGAGTCATGCACACATACTAAGACTACATTTGCACGTGCCCAGCTATTTTCACAAATGGATTTTTTCACCCTCTCCGATTACAAAAACAACTGCGTGCACACCACTACGTTTTCAGAGGAGTTTCCATTTACACTAACCCATGGATATATGCCATCAAGAGCATGCCAAACCTGTAGGTGGCAGTGTAGCAAGAAGCTCAAGCCCATGTTAGCAAATCAGAAGCCCACCTAGCTCCAACAACAAAGTCACTTCCGTCTTTTAGAAAAGATGCAAAGCAAACAAATACAAAGGGATTGCACCAGCATAAATGCGACTGCTATTCTGCATGCATCCATGAGCACCATAGATTGTAAACATAGACTGTAGATTGGAAACAACGTCGTATTTAACCCAGTTTCCGGTGAACAATCTGCCGTCGGCTACCCAAATCTCCGTTTGTGCAAACAGAGTTTTCCAAAATCTCCACTCTGGCCGGAGTTTTTAAAAAGCATAGTTCCCAGGGGCGAATTCTTCATTTGCATCTAAACAAAGCGTGCAAAAAACGGTTAATGTCTCCTTAACATTGGTGTCCTTATGTATTCTGGTCAGCTGATGTCAAAGTTTCTTATGAGAGGCACTGACTATACATCTATTTAAAACAGGCTGGGATCAAATACATGCTGTCCTTTTATGTCCATGTACTTGAAAGTCTAGATGAGCATTTGTGAGTTTCATAAAATGCTGAGAACCGTGTCACAGACAACGAGACACTCCAACAATAAAAATGTGCAGCAACGCATTGAATGGCAATGGCTAAAGTGAAGTTGCAATCATCAAAACTAGATCAGCGAGCTATACTGCTCATGCAAGTTAGACCCCAAAACAGCACTGAGTAGGGTGACCATATTCTGAATCCCCAAAAAGAGGGCACGACTATGCAGGGGCGGAGTCACTGAGTCACTGAGTCACGCATAGTTAATTTTGAGAGTTTTCTGGGTTGGATCGAGTGTTTGTTATGTGCTTCTAACTCAGCGAGTCCATTCGACACAAACTCAAAACTTCCATACAAACCCCGGACATTTGAAGGATTTTATAAACTCCCCCGGACAAGACCTGACAGCCCCCCAAAAAGAGGACATGTCCGGGTAAAAGAGGACATATAGACACCCTAGCACTGAGGGCTCAGGAGCTCTTGAGTGCTATTCTTAGTAAACTAGCCAAAAGGAAACAAGTTAGCCTAGTGCTGGTCCGAGTTTCTAGTATCTGAGCAAAGTAGAGGGACAGGAATTGAGGTTGTGAAGGGAGAAACAGTGCGGCAATATACACTCAGTGAGACTTTCTTCAATTCAACATAAATTTAAAGCAAAAATCTGTCCAAAGCTGTATTTAATTTTTTTAGTAGGAAAAAAAAAAGCAAAAAATTGATGCAACATTCAATTTGACCAAAGCTGAGGATGCAGATGTCTGTACAAATCCTTTTTAAAACCACAGTAGACGTGAATAAAATAATGTTTCAAGCTCTCAGTGATTTAGCACATTTCTGAACTGTCACACAAATATCTGACAAGAGTTGCCAGCTGACATTTCGGACAACTTAAGCTGTCACACGCAGTAAATCTACCTCTAAATAGTGCTTCATAGCCGATAGTCCAGTATGCTATTTCTCTCCTTCAGCTGGACTGAACCTCTTAACAGGTGGTCACTTCTAACAACAATGGTCAGAAACTGCAAGCATGAAAGGTGGGAAGTGAATGCTGTCAGAGTTAAAACTTTGTTGTCTGTCAAACTTAAAAGCTCATAAAAGTAAGTCCCTCAAATGTGCTTCGAAAAAGAACAATATTAAGAGTCAAGGCAAAACGCACAAGGTCGACGGTTATTTTGTGGCATGTCCTGAATGTTTTATTTGTTTGTGTTTTCAACTTTAGGCCTGATATGATTATAAATTATGAACCTTGATATATTCTGACGTGGATTACAAACATAATTTCCCCAGAATGTGTGGAAAAAACTGAGAGAGGAGACGAGTAAGGCCTGTAACTCTGCAGGTGAATATTCCCTGACATTTCATCTGCAGTGGTATTAAGGTGGGGTGCGACGCTGGCCATGCGGGTAGGGGGCTGGTTGAAGCATGAAATTCATTGTCAAATACTTTTTACAGTTTCGGAGGGAAAAATAGATGAGGGGAAAATAACAGCAAAAAATGACTCTCTGGCATGAATAATGTGAGAATACTTATTTAAAACACACGATATTAAATGCCTCGGATTGTGACATTCACTTTTTAACGCAACTACGAAGTCCAATTGAAATTCATCATGTCATTTAAGATGGCTTAATTCATAGAAAATATAGGTGCATTAATAGAATATAGCAGAAATCCTATTACTCTTTTGAATCTTGTGTGAAATGCATAAATTGCAAATAGGGCGGTGTTGGTAGGATGTGCGACAGAGCTGTTAATGAAGGGCTCTGATTAGCATTTGTTAAAACTCAGTGAAGTTCTTACATGCAAAAGGTCAGACGGCTGATCTGACATGCGGAGATGAAAACGTTCTACTTTTTGGGTGGAATGTCATGATTTGAATTAAGATTGTCAGATTGGCTGTAAGCTCGTATCACAGTGCAGGCGTCTTGTATGACCTTTTCAAGGAATTGTCATTTTCCGCCCCTGTGATGCCACTACGGCTCAGCAGGGGAGAGGGCCCCTCTTCTCTCGCCATGTAATTTGTCTGAGGTGTTACCATTCACACTGCACAACTCCCAGCCACTCACCCAAACGCCTGTATATCTGCAGACCAGCAGGCTGCGACTGCAGAATAACCAGAATGCAGCCGGTCAGGTTCTACTCCATGCTTCATGTACAGCAGGAAAGGCCTCTGCTGTGTGCTGCTGTCGGCCTGAGCATCAGACACTCACAACCCTGCACGGCTCCAGCACTGCAGCAGCAGCAGCCAATGATCTACAGCAAATATGATTGCAATACTACCTACACCCACTGCGGCAGCTACACTCATGAGCGATCAAGCACTGATGCCAGCTGTTCAAGTTGCTGTAAACTATTCTAATGCTCACAACTCTTTTTTTTATAACGGACAATATCACAACAATCACAAGCAGGAAAACATTGTGTAAGTGTGGTTCTTGTACTGTGCACAACAGCGTCTAAACTATGACGATATTAGAGCAAAAGGATAATACTTATTTAAAAATGAGCTTTTAATGATATAACTGTAATTACCTTAACCTGAGTGAGTTTAGGTTAAATGGAAAAGCAAAAAATTGTTGTCATCATCATGTTGTTCCATGGCGGTCCCTTATGGATTACTGAAGGTCTAAGTGAAACTATCTGGAGGGAAACAGAGGTTTAGAAGGTCCCAGACTGAATTGACTGGTGATGAGAAATACTTTTTAAGAAGTACAAGGACACATATTTCTTTATTGTTGTTGTTGGTGGTTTTTTTCTTCTTTGTTTCCCTTTTTTCTCCTGTTTTATCTGTTTCTTGTTATTTTCTACCTTATTTGAATTTTGCTTATTAATTATTACTATTAATTCCCTGGATCAGACCACTGCTTGATGATGTATACTTCCATTTAAATTCTGAAAATAAAATCTGGTTATTAGAAAAAAGAGAAAAAAATCATTGCATGTTTCATAGCATGTATCGTAGCATATCCTAAAATGCAACAGACATCCAAGTCAACATGGTAAGAAATAGGAAATATCTCATTAGTTTATTGAAAGTCTGAACACAGCAGTTACTGTATCTGTAACAACATTTGGATAACAATTATAGGACGCCTATCTCTATAACACATCATATATATGTATAATGCATTATAATCATGTTATAGCACTGTATAACTATATTTATAAACACCCATAAATGATCAGAATGCTTTAACACAATAACCATAATACATTATAAAGTATTTTATCATGACTTACAAGGTCAGGTATTATAATGTGTTATAACTGTTAACAACAGTTGCATTGCATTATCTATGTGGGCATTGTCAGTGAGTTGTTAACAGTTATAACACATTATAATACCTGACCTTGTAAGTCATGATAAATTGCTTTATAATGTGTCATGATTATTGCTATAAAGCATCATGATCATTTATGAGTGTTTATAACTATAGTTATACAGTGCTATAATGTGATTATAACGCATTATACATGTATTTATAATGCATTATAGAGATAGGCGTCAAATAAAGTGTTACCAAAATGTGCAGAAAAACTCAAATTTTCACAGAAATATCAAGTTGCCTCTAAAGAAAAATGACTGGATTACCAGTTGAGCAAATTGGGCATCGATCCAAGGGGCCTCGGACCTAAGGGGACCCATAGGAGCCGTGATTCGGTTCATAAATCAGAGAACTGCAGCGCTAAAGTACAACACAAACTAATCCAGATTATTCTTGATGGCTAATATTTTGAATTATCACTGTTGTTAACGTGTACATTCAGTGGTAAATGGCAGCGAACAGTAGGGGCTAAACTGTAAATATCTAACCTCAAAGACTTCACTAATGATTCCAGCCAAATTAAATTATATTGTTTGATAAAAAGAGAACAGAAAGCAAAATACTATCACTCTCAATATAAAAAAGTCAATAACTTACCATGAATCATGCTGCAGTGTCATAAAGATATTAAAATATGAATGAAACATGAGGAAATGATAAACAATGTCGGCAAAAAGAGTAAATAAAAGCAAAACGTGTCTACGACCTGTTAAGAAACCCTTCAAATCCTCTGTCCTGCATACAGACTTTGGGGTCCACACATTAAACTGTTGTGACACAAGTTGTGAAGTCTTGTCATGTGAGTTTTGCACCTAAAATGAAGACCATGCAGCATAGCAGCCCTGTAGCTGATGTGGCACTGCTGCCCTTTCACAGCTAATTGGTCGCTGTGTGCTCATCATCTGGTTATCAGCAGTGATTGGCTGATGGTAAGCTGCAACTGGTCATTCGAGTGTCACTCGCCTGTGTTCCTGTAATTAAAATCTGTCATCCAGAACCACATCCCTCGTCGCCACTAAACCCTTTCGTCAGATGGCAGAGCTCAGATAAAAACAGCCCTGCAGTTATTTCTCTGATGGAAGAATGGCACGTTTGTGTCACAAAATTTAGGAGACAGAGAAAATGCTTAAGATTATCTCCCAAATTTCCTGAAGGTTATTGAGTCGAGTAAATAAGCAAAGTGTATACGAACAATCACATTATGAAAGGCTGAAAACGAAATGATATAAAATGGAATAAAAGGGAGTATTAACCTGTTTTAAAAAGTTCCCAAACTAAAGAGTTTGCCTGCTCATGTGTGGCCAATAAAATGGTTAATGTCTTTTTACTGTAGCTGTAAAACTTTTAACAGTGAAGTGTTCTATCGATGACAGAAAAAGTAGAGCCACTGCAGATAATGTAGTGGAAGAGAGGAGGAAGCAAGAGATACTTGATATTTTTAATGATGCTGAACATTTGTTCAGGGCTTTAACTACTGGAGGGCACTCCACGCTGAAGTTTTCCACCAGGCTGGCCTTCAGAAACATGAACAACAGAAATCTTTGGAAAATTAATTAGAGACAAATCCCTTCTCGCTGCTGAAGTGTGGCATTTAAGGCATTGTCCTTGGTGCTCGTATAACACCACCTTTCAGTGTCGACCCCGCTCCTTCCACCACGGCGGGATAATGCAGCCTAATCCACATTAGCAATCACTCTGGTCCCTGTTGTGTAGTGGCAGTCCTTCCTAATTGCTTGGCATTATTAGGTACTTTACTTGTAAATTTGAAGAGGAGGAACATCATTCTACTGCATCCAAGCAGCAAATGATCCAATTTGCTTAATTTCCAAGAAACACCAGCAGTCTGTTTTCCTCTCACTGCTCCCCCTATTGTTAGGTGAAGGGAATAAAGAGGAGTATAGGGAGAAGAAGTCAGAGGTGTGTGTGTTTGGATGTGGCTTTCACTTGATAATTATCTGAAAATATTCAGTCGTGGGAGGATTTACGTATGTATCTGTACAAACAAACAATAATCGTATATTTAGAGTCAGGGCAATAAGCAGCAACAGTTTCATCACATCTGTCAGGCCTCCATAGTCTGACTGAAATCCGCTTGTATTCAAATGAAGCGGTGTCATCGTAAAGAAAACCCAAAGGAAGAAGAAGAAGAAGAAGGAGACGTAGCTTTGATCTAATATGATGACTATCCTTCAGCACAGCAGAGTTGTTTACTAAATTGAGGAATGACATTTATTTATAAATGGAGCAAGCACATAATGCATCAACATCCAGACAGGCACAGCCCCTAAGACTCCCACACTGATGATTTTCTAATGCTGAAGCTTTAGATCTTTAAAATGTAAACATCTGAGTGACCTGATCTGAAACTCAAACATAGGACTGAAGGGAAATCGTGCCGTTTCTCTCTCTCTCTCTACCTCGGTTATGCTCCCGTTTTTAAGTTTTAGTCACTTTCTCTGCCTGTGTGTTTCACTTTTAAAGAGATTTACATATGAGTTGTTGGCTGCTGGTATTTCTTTATTTCTCTGTCTGCATTAAGGGCTGCATGAAGCGCAATCCGGCTCATCTCCCCCTCTGCCTGTCAGTCAGCAAGATGGCCAACGTCCCTGGAACGCATGTGTAAGGAAAAGAGGGGGGTGGAAGAGAAAAGTTGACGTGGCCCTAGGCATGCCGGTACACACCAACCGGGAACGAACAAGGCAGACATGACAGCCTGATGACACTTGCTTTTGTGTATCGTATCATTTTACCAATCATCTGCATTTCATTTATGTGAGCCTCGGTACTCCGACGCAGAAGTGTCAAGCCTGCTGGCCTAGTTAGGTTGAGAGTGAAGTTGGTGAGCTGATGAAACCCTCCTGTCCGTGGTCCTTCTGACAGCCGCGACACTCCAAATGAAAGCAGAAAGGCAGCCTTATTACAACAGTACCATTCATACAGCAAATGGGAAAACAAATGTGACTTGATATCCCAGGATGCCCTCTGTTGTTGCTGTTATTGCTGCTGTTGTTATTGTCAATAATGGTGATGATAATGCCTGGTGCTTTGTTGCGCTGCTCTCTTTTGTTGTCTTTTTGTTCTATCCAAACAGGGTTTTGTTGGCAGAAGAGCTGCTGCAGCTGGAAGGAGCAAATTTCTCACGTTGAGCTCTGCCCTTTGTTATTGTGACGCTCGCTTTTTAAATTTTTTAAACTTCAGATGAAAAATGGAGCTCCAAAGTTCATCTAGCTTTTAACAATGCGGTAAACAAGAGAGCCGTGTTACATAATCCCGACTGAGAGCGTGAAGTTTGGGATGCATTTGGATTCGACTCTTACGCAGAACAACTCATTATAAACATCTTGATCTTGAGTGCATCAAATACGAGACATTGATGGATCCCTTGTTTTTGCATTATTTATGACTGGCGCTCTTTTTCACGAGGGTTTCAGGAATATTTACCGTCAGTCTACATGTATTGATCACATCAATAAGTAAATGGCATCCACAAGTCCATCATTATTAAATCTCGTCCGCACACGTGTCCTCAGATAAGAGCTCTAATCTCGGTTGGCTTAAATTTCACGCTCGCATATTTCCTGGACCGCAGACAAACCTGGCTTTAACGTAGTTATTTACATATTTTATAGGAGTTTTTTAAGTGCTGACACAAATTCGTCTTGTTCTGTTATAGATTAGCAATTAGGCTCTCTTCCATCCTTTGTTGGCACTACTGTCAGCCTTCCGAAGAGACAAAAACCCTCAGAGACGCAGATTTAAAAGCTCTTCGTGTAAAAACAGTAGGAGAACTCTGTCTGGAAAAAAAAGCCTAAATACAGAAATGAATAAATAAATACATTAAAATGTGGGCACTGTTCTCATTTTGCAGCCTGGATGCAGTCTTGTCAAACAGCACTTAAAAGCGAGGGAGCTGGTCTTGGGGGAGGTTGAGATGTTTATTCTAATGGATGCCATAATGAATGCTTACAGAGTCAGGCCTTGGCTTCGATAGGGGGCTCTGTGCCAGCGCGGTTTTAAAGCAGAGCAGTCACTCCACAGCAGCCCTGGGCGCTTGGCACGCCGAGTTCTCCACAATCTCTCGGCACACACAGAAAATGGCAGCAAGGACCTGGAGATAACCAGCCGTGAAATCTCTCATCACATGCCTTTGATTACTTGTCCACTATTTACTGTTTTTTAAACCCTGAACTTCAAACACAGCAAATAAAAACACAATTCCTGTGACATTGCCTTCCTCACAGGCCATGTTTATGGAGGATGCATTTTGGAAAATTGTCCAAATGTCGTGTTGTCTCTCAAGTAAGACTTTCTGGAAGCAAAAGGGGAAAAAAATGTAAATAAAATGCTGGAGTGTTGTTCAAGTATCCAATCCTTCCACTGTTTTATGGAGGCAAACAAATATTTAGTAGAATTTTGACATGAAAAGCAGCACTATGCCGATTTTTACCACTGTGTGTCTATTTTTCTAGATTAAACAGAGCCTACAGTATGTTCTGCACAATTTGTATAGTCAACGAACGTGTTCCTGTGCGTGCGTTTGTGTGTGTGTGTGCCTGCTGGGGGTGAAGACTGAAGCGCTTTATTAAAATGATGAGAGCAAGTTCAATTTGAATCATGCAGTGCCTGTCAGTGGCTTCTCGAATTGCAGCACTGATGAAATTGCTCTTGCCGTTATTTAAAAGCAGTTGTAATCCATCTGAAAATGCTGTGATATAATCCATTTAATTTCTTATTCCTTGCAGCAATAACATTGAGTAACAAAAATCTATCAAAGCAATGTAGCCTGGTGATTCAGTAATTATCTTTATTTTACATTACTGCAATTCAGCCCAAATTAATTGGAGTCTTATCTGAACAGAGCGGCAGGTCACTTACCTCAATGCAACACAATGAGGTTTTATCTTAATCATCAACCTCCACAAACCCAATTGTGACCCGCTGTGCCAAGAAATGATTATTTTCTGTTGCATAAAATCAGCAATTTATACTCAAACCTAATGAAACTGACAGCTATGAAAGGGTCTCCAGCTGATTCTTTCAAATACATAAAAGTGTTCAACTAAAAACAAAAAGTATACCGCTGATCTAAACAAATGAAATAAAATAAAAAAACAATACCCATGAGAGAGGGAAGAGGATGTATCGAACAGGAAGTACGGTGGAGTGATTCGTGTTTGGGAGAACCCACCAAATATCCAGTATTGATCATCTGTTTAAGTTGAGTTAATGTATGAGCGATGCTCGATGTATCCCCTAATGGGTATGCTGCCTCCAGGCAGTTCTGGTAATAAGACCTCAGACAGCCATATAACTCAGCCTGTCTCCAAGAACACTTCTTTTCTTTCACCTGGCCTATCTGACATTCGATATTAGCCAAATAACCAGCCCTCTGGACAGAGGAAGTCGAGGAATACAGCAGAGAAAAGGAAGTCAGGCAAGCCCTGTTACAGCTACAGGGACTGAAGGAGAAGATTGGAGAACTTATGTTTCATAGCAGAGGACATGCATTGACAAAAGATTATAAGATTTTACATTTACTTTATCCAATATTACAGTCTTTAGTTTTTTGCACTTCATAACTAATTTAAAACACTCTTTTTTTTGTGATTTAGACCTAGTTCTGAAATATTATATAACTTTTTTTGGCCAAATTTCAACATTTAAATGTCAACATCTTCAAAAGTTTTGTGTTTTATGTATGGTTTGCAAACTTGAAAGACTTAACAGGACATAGAAGATGCCAATTCATACGTTTGATGTGACATCCTCAGCCTGGAAAACATGGACGTGGTAACATCACCCACTTGTTTCTGAAGCAGATTTTTAAAGCCTATAGACAGCTGTAGCCATCTTGGAAATGCTGAATCGACTAAACTTTTGGTTGACCTACGAGGGGGGCAAAGAGGTGGAGCTATAGTTGGCCTTTAGCCTCCTTGCCAACAGCCCTAACAATGCAAAACTCCTAACCTAGATATATGAGATAAATAATGAGATATGGAAAAGTCAGTGTCCATGCAGTGTGCAGATAGAAAAAGGGCTATTAAGACCAAAAATGGATTTTTGTACCAGGTTGCAAACTTGTTTAACTTTGTAGTAAAGATTGCCTGATTTGAATGGATATGTATTTGGCTTCCAGTGTTTGGCAGTAAGCCTCCAGTGGACACTTGAGGAACTACAGTCTTTTAGCAACTATGAAAGGCTGGTGGTTAGATGAAGTAAACAGTAATCCATAAAAACCCACAGGAAGTGCGCATGTTGCAACCTGTCAGTGCATCATACTATAGAGCAGATCTGTGTCTGTTTTAATCAATGCTTGTGTTTCCACAGGGAGCGTCATGGCATGTCTCAGCTCTGTGTCAGAAGTGTCTCTTCCTACGCTCCACCAAAGATAGAGTCTATTTTTCAATGGAGCCCACAACCAGCATGCATGAAGCTGAACAGGAAAGATCAACCCGGACAGGACATCAAACATAGGATGGCAGATACCATCTGGTTCATTTCAGAGTAAAAATAAAACATGGACTCTTCAACCAAAAATCAGATAGTAAAGATAAGAGATTCTCATTGACGATCAAAACAAAGCCACATGTTCTTGACCCATGTTGGCTTCAACAGGATTATTAGCAATATTCTTTAACAGATATGCGCTCATATTGCACTATTATTATCAGTTGTTTCAAATCAGTATGGTATTCAACCTTTGTCAACAAGTCAGTATTTAGTAGCATGTAGTATTGAGCCTTGACTAAAATGCCAAGCATCAGTTAATCCTACTTTTTGGTCTCAGAGCAAGTGAACACACCACTCAGAAGGCTTCCTTTTCCACTCAGAGGCTTGGACCCTCTGAGGAGCACATGAATGCAGCATAGTTTTTAACTCTTGGGTCAAATGTCATAGTCAATGTGTAAAAGACAGACGACCAACATGCTTCCATTTCTCTGCAGAGTTGGAAGTGAAATGCTATTGAACTTCAGAAGTTTTAGGATTTGGGTTTAGGTCTTCTCCACCTATTACATCTTGCTTGCTGTTTTACATGTGTAACTCTCAGCAGAGATGTAGATATTTTGGTTTCAAGATAACAGGGTGACCATATTCTGAATCCCCAAAGAGAGGACATAACTACGTGGGGGCGGAGTCACGGAGTCGCACGTTGTTAATTTTAAGAGTTTTTCAGGTCGGGTAGAGTGTTTTTTTACACGCTTCTAACTTGGTAAGTCCACATGACACAAACCCAAAACTTCTATACAAAACCCCAGACATTTGAAGGATTTCATAAACTCCCTCGGACAAAGCCGGACAAGGCCGGACAGGCTGGACAGACCCCCAAAAGAGAGGACATGTCCGGGGTAAAAGAGGACGTATGGTCACCCTAAAGATAACTCACCTACCTATTTTCTAGACAACATTACATCCATTTACAGCATAAAAAAACATAGAAGGTGACAAAACTGACACCATTTTCTTTTTTCAACAGTACTGCTGAATGGGTTCAAGCTTAGCTCTGTTGGTAGAGCAGGTATCCCATATACAGAGGCCTCAGTCCCAGTCCCAGTCCCAGTGTGACTTGGTCGATATAATTTTTCTCTACCACACATTTCGTGCCTTCCTTAAGCTGTTCAATAAAAATAAAGGCCAAAAAAATCCCCAAATACATCCTAAAGGAGAAACAGTGTTGAGGAAGTGTTGTACTCCCTTTATGCAGTATTGAGAAATGACTAAACATTGTAAAGTAAAAAACTATTCCGGCTTCTGGCTTTTAAAGGGTACATAATAAGATATGTCTGCAGAAGTACTTGACTGCACTAACCCACAGAAAGTTGTCACCAGTCCACTAAAACACCCATGATGTGGTTTTCCAAAATCATTTTCCTCTATGTTGAACAATTACCAGCAGAGTGTGTGGTGTGGTGTTAAGGATACAGGCGACTGTCCATTTGCCTGCCAGCCAGCCTGCTGCTGGATAGAACACATAAAGGGCTGTCCGCACTTAGATTAATTGATTCCTTCACATGTGGATTCAGTTCAGAGAAGCAGAGAAATTGCTTGTTTTGACAATGACGTGGCTCTCGCTCGCTCACTCGCATCCAAAAGCCCTGCACACGACACTTAAACAGGGACGGTGTCGCCATGGAGAGTGTTTAAAAACTCTGCTTCCTTTCTCTGATGTTTTGGTACATTAGCATTAGCATTAGCAGAGTTAATTGCCATGAACGTAATGATTATGAAGAACCACTGGGGCCATCAATCTACAGAGACATGTTCTCTGGACACATAATAAAAAAAAAAGGCAACTCTCAAAATATAACTTGTGCTCTTTAAATCACTTAGACCATGCTAATAGCAGCGCTGTCTTCTTGAAAAATATTTTTCCCATTGCAAGAAAATAAATACATCACAGGCGGCAGGTGGAAAAATCATTATTTTTGATTTGAATTTACCTTGCCTGTAGGTATTGATGCCGTAGCAGAGCAGGCACAACAGGCCAAAATAGAAACATGTAAACCCTTGGCTGTGGAGGGACTTCATGATGGCGTTTTCATGTATTTTGATCATACCCTCTGCACTCCCAGAAAGCCCCTCACATGTTCCGCTGCATAAGTGCTCATGTCTAATACCCTCAGAGGACGTTTTGGTCTGTCTCTATGAGTCTAATTTACGGATATCTGCATGAATTGGGAGGGCCTGGGGCCAACCATCTCATGTCTTTTGAGGGAAGGGGGTGGGCTGTTGCGTTAGGAGGCCCTTTCGGGACAGGAGCAGATTTCAGATAAGATCGGCGGCAGGAAGTGGTGAGCCGGGCCGTTTGTTCTCGTTGGCCATCTCTCATGTTGCACTACTGATTGGGAGGAAAGCTAAAATTGCTTTCACCGGGGCTCACTCCAGCAGTAGGCAATGATAACTAACAATGCCCCCGGGAGCTAGTTAAAGCTGCATCACACGCGCTGGAAAACCACTTTAATGTGGCAGCATTAGGAAGCTGTCAGTTGGGTTGGTGGAGAAAACAGATTCCAACTCATCGCGGAATTTGGAAAACATTTGTTATCGTCACTTTCGGGAAATGCCAGCAAAATGCATATAATCAAGCGAGCATTTATAATTTCAATCTGAGCCGACTGTGAAGAAGAAAACGGGTTTTAACATCATTAAAGGGAGTATACAAACAGAAAATTACCGTGCCTCCCTCTGCTCTGCTCTCAAACCCTCTGCTGCCTTGCTCAGTCATGGGGATCAGGAGCTCTTGTCATACAGCAATGCAGCAGATGAGCAGAGTCTCTCTTCTTTAACTTGTGTTATATTGCAGGTTCAGCTCAGTGGATGTATTCTGGTCTTTGAATTATTGACTTGTAGATGTCATTTCTCTCTGTGTGTGCAAGTTAAATTAGAGCTATTCCTTGTGACTGTTAATCACACCAAAGTCTATTTCTTTAACTGGATGTTGAGTACTCAAAGGAAGTTCCCTAGCTTATTTGTTTACTTTACACATTCAGGTAGTCGCCTAATCATCTTATGTTCACTGAGAGATTAATGTTTATTTTTTCCCAGGGAGGTGTAATGAATCAACAAAATAATAATAATGAATAACACGGCAAATATTATATTAGATGACAATTTTAAATTTATGTGGTAAAACCATTAGCTGTTGAAAAGCATAGCCTCGTGGTTTAAGTGTGCGCATGTACGCAGGCAGTCCAAAACCTCAAAGTCTGATGTCACCTACTGGAATTGAAGAGGTGTTATGAAGCCCAATTACTGACAGCACCAACCCACAGATATTGACTGCTGACCCCAACTAACCTCATGCTAAACTAGAAACTGGTAACAAAGCAGTGTCTCAGCAAAAAGGAAAAGTAAAGTCAGTCATCTTGCTGCCTGGTGAATACCTACAACTTCCCAGCATGCCGTCAAATCAGCCAGGCCGCCTTATCCTGAATAAACCCGAGCCTAAACATTTATATTTAAAAAATAGGAATGATCAGCTGTTATTACAGATTAAGATTAAAGAAATGTGATAAAAAGAGCAGAGCTGTTTGGTTCACTTGATCAACTTTTGCAATGGCCTCATTTTTCAACACCGCCGCTTACCGCTCAGGTAGAACAGGTTTGGGTTAGTACAGGAACCAACAGTTTTAATTATTTATGATTTATTTGGCTGTTTACCTTTGCTTTTCTCACCAAGTAACGTCTAAATGAAAAATTAAGGTGATACATTATGTGTTTTTTTCCTCTGTATTCCATGTTTTGCAGGATGATTGTTATCCCTGACACCTGCTTCTGTAAGCCAGTTAAGAAAGAAACATGCAGGCTGTAATGTAGTAATTATAAATCTCATCACTCTCTGTAATAGCAGGTATAATTAAAATCAAAACTGATTTTTAATCCTTTCAACACATGCTGCCGGCAGGTTAGAGGGAGAGGGGAATTATAATGCGTATTAAATGTGTTTACTTTGTCATCTTGCGGAAGAAAATTTAAAAAGCAAGGAATAAGACAGCCTGTTCCACACTAACACAGCTCTGATCACTCAACAAAAGACACACTATTTGCCTAATGCTTTCGCTTCCATTTGGCAAAGCTCTCTGAGTGTCCAAGAGGTGTTCTTATCCATTTAATATATGCTCACAGTGTATCCTGTCAAATATAGATTTGAATCAATAGCACTCTGGAGTGGCTCGTTAAACTTAAATCAGCTTGGAAGTGGTGCATGCCTGCCTCACAGCTGCTGTCATTAACCACCGCCTCGAACATTATTGGAGAAACGTCCTTGTGTGAGCAGATTCACCAGTTTACCTGAGGACTGTTGGTTTCGAGTCACACAGACGATGAAGTATAACAGCTTACGTTGATACGGCAACACCCATCCACTTCACTCTTAGAACAATACCAGCCTTATATCAAAACACTTAAAAAGCAGCTGTCAAAGGTTTGCAGATTTGCTGTGTGTTTCTGAAGGGACGAGTTTTCATGGTGAAAAACGCTCTGAAAACACACCTGCAATATGATAAACTCGTGCGGTTCATCTGTTAAGTTGTGGGTTGCGTCAGTCTCCTTCCTACACTTTATCCCGCAGAGCTTGCAAATCAGTTCCCATGGTTCCCGTGTTAAGGGGCGCTGAACTATCATTAGTCAGAACTGATCTCTTCAAACTCTTCTGTTTACTTTTTTGATTGGCACTTATGTCCAATACCAAAGCTCTAAGACAGTTTTTCTTTTGATAAATGAACTCCTGAGTGGACTTGTACCTCGGGCAAGAGAAGAAGTGCAGTAAAAAAATGTAAACATAACTGTAGGGACCCTTGTTTGACGTGATAACTAGAAATTAAATTAGCTGTGGTACAAAGTCGGTTCATTTTTATATTGTATTGTATGTTCTTGTTCAGGTCAGGGGTCACAGAGCTCTTGATATTTCTAGCCTGACAGATCTTTTTTTTACTGAAAAGATCACTAAACTACTTAATTGTTGTAATGACATTTAGATTATATATTTTATTAGATTAGATATTCTCTCTCATTGTTCTACTCTTGTCATTTTCTTTTTAATGTCTTCTGTCAAGCACTTGTAATGTGGACTGTGATATGTTAGAAGTGCAGTACATCAGAAGAGAGGAGTCCATGTTGCAGCTAAATGACATGTCTGAGCTAAAAGCAAGAGAGAGGGAGAGGGCAGTGGTGGTGCTGTCAAACAGCAGTCGTGGATAGTAATTTGTATTCGGGACAGATTTTGACTTTTTCCCCCCTCAAAATTAGATATTCTATGTACATATCTGAGTTGAATAGACCTGGTTGAATAGTTGTAGAACACCTAAAACAACAGAAACTATTCCCTATACAATACGGTACGGTACGATACGATACGATACGATACGATACGATACGGTACGATACAATACAGTACGATACGATACACTTTATTGTCCCCTCAGGGAAATTTGTCTTGGACTCCAAGAGCTGCACAGATAAAGCTGCCAACTGATGACACAAAGTACTTAGACCTAACAAAGACACAGTCGCACAACCCACGCACATTGCACATACCCATATAAAAACTAAAAAACAAAGAAACTTGTCGATTTAAGGATTTCATGTGATGTAACCTGTTTTTTTGGGGGGTAACCAGGCCTAAAATAAGGACAAGGGCAATAGCTTGAAAATAGGTATTGGGATATAAACCTGACAGGAGCAAATACTGACCAACAGTGAGGCCTCCCCTCAGATCTGCATGACAGCCTCGATGTTTGATCTTGTTTGTACTGTACGCCATAACTGATCATTATGAATCCTTTAATTTAATGAATGATCATACAACATAACAAAACAGTGTGAGCAAAAGCTGAGGTATCATCTGCTCGATTTGAAAAGGTAGCAGGGACACCAGTAATGCAGTTATGGATGGAGAAGCATCATCCAAACAACCTCTTACACCAGCCTTACCAGCAGGACCTTCGCCAGGATGTTGTGTAAACTCGATCATAAATAAGTTAGCATAATTTAAGTGTGATTGTTCTGTATGTGGCTTGGTTGCGTTGTTTTAGGAGAAGCTTTTTAGAATAATGATAGAACAGTGGGGAATTACCCATGAAGAGTTACATGACGTCTCCAAGCCAGACTCTGAGACTTACACAAGAGTCCTCAAGAATTAGAGGATGATTTTTGATAGATATTTCATCTGTTTCATTTCCTTTTGGCACAGCCTCGGAAATACTGGTAGACATCTTTCTTTTTGGCTGTGACACTATAAAAGGTTTAAAGATAAGCTCAGACATGTTTATTTCATGCTTCTCTTAGCTGGCTACTTGCTTAAACAACCCAAGTAATGTCTCTCTTGTGTGTTTTTCTCTGTTTTTCCAGATGCATTAATAAATTAAAATACTAAGGAGTCAGTAATTCATCCACTCTCCTGTGAAGAGTGGAGCACGCTGCACAGCCACGCCTTATGGGAAGGGGTTAACTGCAACAGCTACAATAATGAGAGCGCAGTGAGACGTGTGAAGTAATTAGTCAGTCTGCTCTCCAATATTTACCCAGTTAATTATTTGTGAGTATTACTCTTGTCTTCCCTTCAGATGGCTGCCTGTGTTGTTTTTTCCACACCATTTGTCACTGTCCACCTCTCGTGGGTTCTCATCCCTTCTTCCTGTTGTTTTTCTTTCTTTTCTTTTTTTCTTTAATAGCAGGAGAGTGGCATTTCAGTGAACCCTTGTCACTGGAGGTGTTAGACCGCTGTCCCTGGTTGTGCGAGGTCAACTGTGATTATTTATTCATCTGTCTGTTTGTCTAAGGTTAGTAGCTAGATGTGAAAATTGTTGCTAACTTTCCGGAGTGGTGCACATCAGAGAAAGGTCAGACAGCCAAGTGAGGAAGGAGGGAACACTTCAGGTTCAAAGGTCACTTAAATGCTTCGAAGCGTCTATAGAGACAAAAAAATAAAGAGAACTGCTGTGAAGTGATCAAATTTATAGAAACACATCTGTATAGGCTTTAATCTATAATTTAATATGTAGGAATTTTTGATACATTGATACTTTTCAAACTCCATGTGCATGAGAGAGTACAAAATCCGTTCAACAGAGTCAAAAAATACTAAAGTGGATAAAAATTTCTAAAAAAGATCCAACCTCATGTTTTCAACTAGAAGCTGCCAGGTGGGAATGAAAGTGACAGAGTGAGCAGCTCTGTTCCACGGACAGAGATTAAGTGAAGAGTGAGCTCTGGTAAAGTCATCAACGCCTCAATAAAGAAAAATGAGAAGTTATCTTAGGATAGTTTCACAGGAGTTTAGCTTGTGAGTACTTGTGAGAAACACATTCACAACTCTGTGCAAATCTGTGCAAGATTTAGTTTCAGGGTTCCTGCGTAAGTATGGAAAAGTATGGAAATAGTTTGATCAATTTCCAGGTCTTAAAAAGTATGGGAAATGAGAAATAAAGTATGGAAAAATATCTATGTTTTCAGACTATTACCACAGTTCTAAAATACTGTTTTCTAAAAATAGAAAAGCAGGCATTTCCAAAAATAATTCTAAAAAGTAGGGTATGGAAAAGTATGGAAATTCCAACTGTGTAGGAACCCTGTAGTTTGTTTGCAGTTGAAGTTGTGCTTCCGGCTGCCTGCTATGTCAATGCGTGTCAATGGATTCACATGCTGCACATAAGTTAGGACTGTCACTTTTTATTCAAAAGTTAAACCTTCATTCGAACTTTGGGGGGAAAAGTTCATATTTGAACTGTAATGAGTCATTCAAACTCATAATATTACAGCTTATTGTATCATCCCGCAACGGGCGCTCTCATTGTAACCACGCTAATCCATGCACTCTAGAATGTTACTCTACAGAAATGGAGGACACAGTGATGCAAAGCTGCATTGAGCAGATGAGCACAAGAATATTTGGGTTCTACAATTTATGTGTAAAATAAAAGGCAAAGATAGGTTCATATGTTGACTTCCTACAAAGCTTACTTCTTGATGAAAACAAATTTGCGGACTCACCTGATGGCTTGCTATCAACATGACACTGTTTGTTGTAGGGTGACCATATTCTGAATCCCCAAAAAGGGGACATGACTATGCGGAGGCGGAGTCATGAAGTTGCATGTAGTTTATTTTGAGATCTTTACGGGTCGGATCGAGTGTTTATTACGTGTTTCTAACTCAGTAAGTCCATGTGACACAAACCCAAAGCCTCCATACACAACCCCGGACATTTGAAGGATTTTATAAACTCCCCCCGACAAAGCCGGACAAGGCCGGACAGGCTGACAGCCCCCCAAAAAGAGGACACGTCCGGGTGAAAGAGGATGTACGGTCACCCTACATGACACAGCAGAGATGAATGCTAGTGTTGAAGCTCTGCTAATGTTAGCCACGTTCAGCAAATCAAATTGACAACTTTTACTTGTATGATCAAGTGTTCTAGTGTGAATACGTGTCAAATAAGACATGTTCAATTTATGCCTGTTTATGAGTGTTCTTCAAACACAGCATACCTCGGTAAACTTTATTTAATTAACTTAAACCAGTATAAGAGACCAAGATGGATGCAGAAGAAATCTATAATTACTGTTGTTGTTTAATTAATGTTTCACTTATGGAGGATACATCTTTTACCAGCGCGTGTGTGTGTGTTGTGTGGTTGGGGGGGTGACAGTAATAATATTACAGTGGTGCAGTGTG